GCAGGCGCGCACTCATTCATTTGTACACAGGCAATACACATATGCCCACAGACATAAAGAAAATGCTCACATATACGGGGACACAGATATAGATACAATTACAGACACAAACACAGACACAGGCACAGAGACAGGCACAGAGACAGGCACAGAGACAGGCACACAACAGTCCCGACTGCAAGTAGGCCAAGTTGTCCGTGCACTTTCATTCAGTAAAGTCGCTGCGCGACGCAGGCGGGAAAGCGCTGATGTTTTGGTGGTGGTGGTCTATTGGTGGTTGATGGTTGGCGTGTAATAGGAGAGGACAACTCTTTGGCCTAATTCTAACTGGGCAGAGGATAGCCAGCTTTGAAAATGAATATAAATAGGGCACGAACATACAACTATAATCCTATTCCTTCTAGACTTTGAACTTCAAAAAAGAAAAAAAAAGCGCGCACATGTACACACCCAACATAGAATCATCGCCCAAATTCCCACACACGCACACAACAAATGTAAACAGAGCACATTGGATTGAATGCGAACGAGTGGAACACTCACTCACAGTGCGCCTGTGTGTATGCAATGAAAGATAACATCGAGACGCGACCCCTGTCGCAGCAACAACGAGGACAAGCTAAGCTGAATTTGTTACCAAATGTATGATTGATTGTATGTTTCGAAATTCATTGTGCATTTTCGGGCGTCCGCCGAAAATTTTCAAACAAATTTAAATGTAATTTACAAGGTTTCTTTCTACACACCGCTGTGGCCTAGGCCGTGGCTGTGATGGCTTCGATGGCTTTGGAGGCTTTGGTGGCTTTGGTGGCTTTGGTGGCTTTGATGGCTTTGATGGCTGCGGTCACTGTGGCTCTGGCTGCTGTTGCTCGATTGGCTGCTGCTTGCGGTGCGCAACGCCGCAACGCTGGCAACCTCGACGTAATCGGCCACGTCGTCGCCTTTCTTGTCACTGTGCTCGCGAAAGTTTGGCAGCACGCGCCTAAATGTATGCACCACGTTTACTTCCTTTTGCACTTTGGCGCACTTAAAAAAAAATTGCCAAAAAATAAAGGCGGTCTTGCCAACGGAAATGGCAATGGCAATGGCGACGGCAACGGCGATGGCGATGGCGACAACGCTTCCCTTCGTTGGGGACAGTTTTCAGTAAGTTTGATGTGCACTGAGTTCCCGATTTCCCGATTTTCACGATGTTACGTTTACGTTATATGTGTGATTGATGCGTGTCATGCGCTAGATCTGGCTTTGTTCGCCTATTGCGTTGTATCGCCGTGCGTTTTCAACACCAACTGATGAACATGTCTCTGCTGGCATCCCTTTTGGCCGCACGCACACCGAGTGGCCACACGACGTATTTTGGCGCTTCGCGCACAACACTAGATGCCGAAGTGGCAGCACGACCAGCTGAGCCTGTTGCTAGCAACAGCTGTGCAGAGCTTTTTATTGCCGCCATTTTGTGCTTGGCGCGCTTTCTAGACACATATTTAAAAATAATTGAAACAAGTGGCGCCCGGTTTGTCAAAATTCGACCAGAAGTCGTATAGTTGAGGAACTGTAAAGTCGACAAAGTGTATCCAATACCCTACCCTCACTCCACCATATCCCCACCATTTAAATATGCTTTGTTGTGCCAATCGTTTCTATGGCAGCTATATGATAACGCGTACAGAATTGAATGCAACTTTAAGATTATGCTGAAATATTGTTAAAACCTTAGAAATACCCAATTTGGTTGTGTTGTCGAAATAAACTTTGAAGCATGCCCCATCACTTCTTCGGTACGTAGCGCTGATAACTATACTATTATTATTTTTTCAGACATCAACAAGAATGTGATTCGTATACCATTTTAGACATGGCACAGATGTGAAACAATTGATTCAAGTATTTAGACGTTAAGTAATTTGTTTGTGGAATAATAACATTTCTTATTTTGGGCAGGCAGCTTTTTTAAAGCTCCTACAACTTCAGGTGCAACATGCTGAGCTGTGGCATCCTACTTGAAAGTTAAGCATGAAAGCTAGTGGAGTGTGTGAATTGGAATTGATCAAGATTCACTATCAATTTAAATTAATAAATTAATTAAAGTAATCCCAAATGGCTAATATATAAGTTCATAGTTAATTACTAATTTCTAAGTATAATACACCCTAATTCTGCCACACTCGAGGTCCAATAGTGGACAGGGTATAACGTAAGAAGCTGCTGGTACTGCACAAGCAGAACGAAAATGACCAACTTATTGCTAAAGCTTCCACGGATGCAAGCTCAAGGCATTCACTGTGAACTTTGGCTAAAAGGTACTAAGTTTCCAATAAAATGGCCTTATGGATCCTGGTCTAGATCTCCAAAAGAAAGAGCTGAGGCTTTTGCACTGGACTTGGAGGCACGGTTCCAGCCATTAAGTACCTGCTCAACAACCACACAAAACAAAGTACAACTGGCGCTCAAGAGTGCGGAACATGTATGTCTCCCGATTGCTTCCATTACAGTGGAGGAAGTCACTGCACATTAAAAGGGCTGAAAAGTAGAAAAGCACCAGGTAAGATGGCCTGGACAATTACATATACCATCAAGGCAGTGTTGTTCTTGGTGCTTGTGCTTAACGCAGTACTGAGACTGGGACATATTCCAGCCCCCTGGAAGAAAGCGAGGATCTGTATGATCCATAAGACTGGCAAAAGCCCTTCTTCCATGGACTCATACAGACAGCGATGTCTGCTGACGCGACTGTTGTCCTTACAAGAAGTGACAAATAAAATCCCTTCCTTTCAATTTGGGTTCCGAAAATGGAAACCATGGAATACCAGAACAATTAAATAGGGTAGTAGATTTCATCCTTGAGGGATTTGAGGCTAAGGAGTACATGGTAGCGGCGTACTTGGACATAAGGCAGGTACATTGGCCTACTAGCCAAAATTAAACCAGTGCTGCTCCCTCAACTTTTCTGGATACTACGGAGCTACCTCGCACTGCGCAAGAAGAGCGGTCCTGGCGTCTCCTGGTAGGACCAGCTGTTGAATCATTCCAACAGCAACAAATATTTGGGCGTAAATTTGGACAGGCGCCTCACATTTCGAAAGCACATATCCTGTGTCATGAAGACACTAAGTGACGGAGTGAACAAAATGAGATGGCGCCTAACCAGCAAAAAACTATCACTTAGAAACAAAATCACTGTTTACAAGTCCTGCATAGCTCCCTCTTGGCAATATGGCTTGCAAGTATATGGAATCGCTGCAACACCTGGAGAAAATCGGGATCCTGTAAGCGAAAACCCTTTGCCTACTAACAGGTGCGCCCCCTGGATCTAGGAGTGCAAAATGTTGGTGGCGTGCTAAATGAGCAGATGACAAGACGATTTGAGTTAGCCCTGGGTGTCCGTTCGTTTGAACACCTGGATCTCGGGGACTATACGATATAAAAATACCAAATTCTGCACAAAGATACCCTATATTTCATAAAATTATTATAAGTGATTTTTCATAATTTTGTGACTGAACTTTGGCAGTTACTTCTAGTTTTTGTTTATATATCCTATTCCCAATCTCTGCCCAAGCTCTGCCTGCATCTGTTGTTGTTGTTGTTGTTGTTGCTTTTGCTCAACTTTCATTCGTCATGCTGATTGAGAATACATATGGAGATGGGTTATGCTTCCTTCTTCCTGTTACGTAATTAGCACAAACCTGATATATGCTTTTTACCCTTCAGGTACAGGGCATAAGAGCATGATCACATTGGTTTGCCAGTACAGAAATGGAGATGTATGTTATTGTCAGACGTATTGATTTTTTGGTGGAACTGGGGCTCACGAGCATGTCGGGAGGCCTCCATATATGTACTTAGTGACACCCAAAATGTTTAGTGGCTGTTTCAAAAAAGATATTTACGCCAGTGAATACCTGTTTTAGAGTGTCTTAGGGTCGTAATTCAAGTAATTTGTGTGTTACTCGTGCTTTTTTGACTTTTGACGAACATGAGATCTACTGGTTTACTTGTTAATTTAAAATTTAAAGAGGAAAGATATGATTGTTTGTTTATTTGAATTGAATATGCTCCGAAACTACTGGACCGATTTAAATAATTCTTTAACTGTTGGGAAGCACAGGCCGGGTAACACAGGCTTATATTTGCCAAAAAGTTAGGGATCCTTACTAAGACGTCAATAATATAGCCCAAGGTAGATAACCATTACCTAATTCTGTTCCTGAACACAATGCTGTTAGTTCAGAAGCATCGCTTAAATATTAAGGCAATATTATTCAAAAAACCTCCAGCCAAATAAATAAATAAAATAATTTCTAAATTCACTAAACCCTTCTGGACTGCCGCCACATGAATCGTTTTTCCAATCATGCTTTTGAGAAATGGAACCCTCCGAGCATATGCAATGCGAAGAGGCTTCTTATTAAGGAATTGCAGAACAATTTAAGTGTAGCAACCATTATCAACGGCCCAGTAGCTGGCCAACTGGCTTATATACCGAGGATTTCAACTGACTCTGACTCAATAAATAATAACAAAAAAAGCGAAAAAACTAAAAAAATCATTAAAATAATAATATCCAAACTATGTTTATACTTTTCCTTTCTTTTAATAACTCAGCAAGAAGAAGGGTATATGTGTGTGTTTTAAAATTTATAATTTGTGAAATTATTGTGCGAAGCAGGGGCGGGACGCTAGTAATAAAAAGCATTTCTTCCTTATTGGCATGGAGCTCACAAGTGAATCGACCTTTCAAGAATCGCTATCGGGTTCGTTTTTGGGGGGAATCCCTCTTACCAATAATTTATGAATTAAAACATACAATATTAATATTGACTAAGAAAAAAGGGTTTCTCAACCAAATATGACATCTCTGTTACTATTTCCTATTTTTCCCGATTAAAAGACTTAGTTTTAAGGGCGGCAATGTGTCAAAAGGCATGGAAATGCCGATATTTGATTAACGCATTAGTTCGCTTAAGTGCTATGGCCGATGGACATGTTTCTACACTCACCTGTCTGGGTGCTGGAATCAAAAAAAGTGCTAGTTGTCTCCACAGTCATGGTTCCAATGGTGCCGTCGATAATTTGTGCAGAAGAGTCGCGACGTCCGCGGTAGCTGTTATAATGAATGGAAAAAATCAATAAGGTTGTTACGACCTGGGTGTTCAGGAGGGAAAATCTGACATACCGACACACGTCATCGCTCTGTGAGCTCTGACGCCGGAAATTGCGGCAGCGTATCATTTCCTCTGTAGTGGATTGGCGCCGGAATCCGCGCGCTATTAAGATTTCTTCGGTTGTAGATTGGCGCCGAATAGCCGGCCGCTGATTTTGTTCAACGGTGGGAATAGGTGGCGGACGCGAGCACGGGCTGGGATCACGTGACGAGCAGCAACTATTTGAGTCGGGCGACCGTGGTGACCGGGCTGCTGAAGAACTTTGGCGGCGCAGCGCATGTCGCCGTGGGCTGCCGTCGGGCTCGTGAGATCGATCAGGAGATAGATGTGTTCGTGAGTCACGGCGGGCTCCCCTTGAAGCGCTATCCGGGGATAGTGAGTCGCGGCGGGACGTGCGCCGCTCACAGTCCTCGGGTGGATCTGGACTCAGTGCAGGCTGCGATCCCCGACGGCTTCCACCAGGCAGACAGCTTTCATCAAATGCGGTGGCCTGGCGCTGTAGCCGTTGCAAACGTGGCGCTCTCTCTGGACTAATGCCAGGCTTAGAGTCTCTCCTGTTGACACGGCCGCATTGTGTGGTTGAATCACGGCGACCCTTGGGTGCGGTGGGGCTAGTGGCTGGCGGCGTCACCGAGCTGGTGATGATAGTAGGAGGTGGTAGGGCCTGACAGGCGGAGTCCACCTGCTGATGGTGGTAAGTGGTGGTAGAGATTAGTGGCACAGAGTCTGAACAAGAGCCAGCAGAGCTGGTCGAAGGACGCTGCTCCTGCCGGAAGTTGGGAAAGTCCGGAGCAGCGAGTGAGTCACGCTTCTTGGTCATTTGGTGCTTGGATGGTGGTGGTGGCGTTGTCACTCGGCCGGCTACGCAACTGTCGCGCCGGCTGCTAGAAAGATAGCTTTCGCCGGAGCCGCGTCGCGATGCCTGCGAACGATTTTGGGCGAAAGAGGGGGGTGGGTAAGGTTTGCAGAACAGGACAAGTTTTGGGCCAGATATACTTACGCTTTTTGTACATTCAACCACCGCGGGCACAATGACGCTGGGCTCCTCAACTGTGGTGCTCTCCCGCCTGTTCCAGTGTTTTACAAACTCGGCCGTATTGGAGTCTCGCCGCGATCGCATACTGCGTATGCCGGAGTCGGCGCTGGACTCTCGGCGCTTCCGCGGCGCTATATAGGTAGTGTTGCCACCTGAGCCACCGGCTCCGGTGCTTGCGTCAGTGGTGGACGTACGCCAGGGTAGGCTGCGGGCCAGATCGGCTAAGGTCTCGCGGCGATTCAGCTGCGCCTTGTTGCGCGCTGCTTGCGTCGCCTGTTGCTTGGCGGCGCCGCCACTCCATTCCCGCAATATGTCAGTTAACTGAGCTAGTGAGCTTCGGCGCCGGCGCTGCAGTCCAGGTGGCGGGGATGTACTTGGCGGTGTAGTGATTTGGGCCGCCGAGTCGCGTCGCCCACCGAGACGCTGTCGTATTGTTGATTCCTCCAACTAGATACCGAAACAGTGAGAAAAAAGCAGAGGTGAGATACATACATATACAAGTAGTGGCAAAATAGAAGAATGCCATTTGAACTCACCTGCTCCCGCACCAAGTCGTCCCAGCCGTTTCCGCCCTGCCACACCAGGCCCACCTGGTGCGACATGATGGGCAGGTTGCAGACGAAGCACACGGCTGTCATGGTCCTGCAAAGGCAAATGCCAACAAAACGTTCACATATAGTTCACCATGTTTATAGTTATGCGTAAATTTAAATATGTATGTATACGAGTATACGAGAATATTAACGGAAACGACAGTGAAAATATCAAGACAGAATTTAAAACATGCATTAAAATTCGATTTATGCAAAGATGTCAGTGTCGTGGCGGAATGTGTGATGAGTAACTCAGGACCGAATATTAAGCCTAGTTAAGTCACTTAGTTGCCTAGAGTTTCGGCTTAAGGTGAAAAAACTTCTCTTTTTCATTTGCGAACTATTATTCGCTGGTTTATTTAATAAAGTTTGATGTAATAATCTTTGATTTAATTTTGAAAACTTTTGTATGCCAGTAAATTCGGCTTGTTAGAAAAAACGGATGCATGTTCAAATGTGTCGGCCTCATTAATATTTAACTAACGGTTTTACAGAGGAGTTCTATATCTACGGCCGTTGAATTGGAAAACTTGTTTAATAGGGCAGGTCCTGAACTTTTGCTTGTAATGTGTGCGTGAGCTTATAGACTAAAGCTTATCATGCCTAATATGCAAGTGTTCAAATAAATATGTTGATACGAAACGAGCTTTTAAGCTTAACCGAAAAGCCATGCAAAGTATGAAAAAGCTTGAAATACTTGTACTGTATGTTGAATTCTCAGCGCAAAGCTTCGTGTACTGTAAAGCTTATGCTAGATAGAAAGTAAGACTGTTGTGTATTGACTGAAACCGAAAAAATTCTGGGGGAAGCTTTTTAGTGTAAAATGATTATGGCAGCTTTTAGAAGATAGACAATTAACTGTGTGTTAGTTATTGAAAGTGTCTGCGATTTTAGACAACAGAGCAAGAGCAAAAGCAATAGCAATAGGAGTAGCAGTAGAAAGAGCGAGAACGAGAGCGATGGTGTGAGCATGAATAGCGTGTAAGATGCGTTTGTGAAGAATACATAAAAAAGTTGATGTAAGATTGCAGGCTGCATGTTTCGATTATGCGTTTTGTTGAAGTTTTTGGCTGTTTTTTTTTTTTTTTTTTTGTTTTTAAATATGTTTGTATTCAGTGGACTTGTGTTGCTAACTTTTTGCGTATAACCACGCTGGTGCTTGGCTGATCCATGGACCTGTAATGCCGAAGTTTTGACATGGCGCATGGCGTTCTGGGCCCGCAGCTGCTGCTTGTCGGCAATATAAAAACACTGGAATCTTGGGCACTTGCGCTGTGCCTTTCCTGATGCTGGTTAGTTCTTGTGGTTGCTTTTGACGTCCTTGGGTTGTGATGGCTGTTGTGTTGCTTTTGTAGTCGCTACGTTGCACAATTGAAGCCGCTTTGCGGAAATGTTTTGTTTATTGTTGTTGCAGGCGTTCTTGGTTGAAGTGGATGCTTAATTGTGTTTTCAATTAACTGCCGAATATTGTCTGTTTGTTTACCTTTGATTGCCCGAAACTCTCAACTTCAACTTCATATTTCGCAATATACATACGTGTAGGTATGTATGTAACACGATAGTTGTCGGTCTTCTTTTGTTGTTGCAACAAAAAATAAAACATAAGTGGTTTGCTGTACTTGTTCATTATTGTTGGCTGTATATATTTCTGTTTTATTTTGTGGGGCAGGGGGTGGGGAATTTGCTACACACAGAGATACACTGAAATAAATTGAAGAAAAAATATTGTTGGTTTTAAAAACATTGAGGGGATCGTTTTATTTCTTCATAGTTAAATTAATTGTTTGCTGGGTTTTCAAAAAATTCTTTTGAACAAAAACGGTTCTGTTGTATGAGTAATGTACTTAGAATGTGTAAATACATATACTTGTAGTATACGAGTATGTGTGTGCACGGGGTCTTCTATTTAAATAACATGAATCAATTTTTTGCAAATAAAATTAAGACAAAAAATCAAATCCCTGTTAATTGTTGACACATATGCTTTTTTTTAATAAGTACATATGAAATGAGCTACATTGATTTTTTAGCTACTTAGCAAAAATATGGAACAAAAACAAGTTAAGAGTATAAATACATATGTATTCTAATTTTTAGAACACAACATTGTTTAACGTGGGCTCATAATATTATTTAAATAATTGTTAATTTTAAGTTGTGAAAAAAAAACTACGACTTAGTCATGCAGCGATAATAATATCTAGTTAACATACAATATTTCTACAAATAAAATTCCTTTACTCCAACTTATTTATCAAACTTTACGTAAGAAATATGTACGATTATGTTATAGTAAATGAAACTAATTCATCTACAGTCTGCAAATCAAAATTCCAAGAAAATCACCTCTATGCAGAATGTTGAAATAATTATTAATCAATCAACTATTCATTTTAGTTGACACAACATGTGTACAACTTTGTACTATAAGTATAAGTTCTTTAAAAACATAAATCGATTCTATTTAACGTTGTTTTTCAGATTGCAGCATTGGAGTTTTAGTTCAAATAGCTGTAGTGTGATAACAGAACGCCTCATTAAAATAATGGTAAATAAAATAAATAAGTAGGATATAAGTATTTAGACTCATGTGACTGCTAAATCAACGGTCCAATTATGTATTTAAGAATTAAGCATATCTCTGCGATTCGAGCTCCATACATATACAAGTATGTATAAACATAATGCAAATATATGGAGATCTCACAACATCTTATACTCTCTTGCCAACATAATTGTGTAATACGCCAACGGTCCATTATATTTGAAAATGAAAATAGCGCCGTGTACGCATCTATTCGTACATACTCGTGTATTTACAAACTGGTAGTCCTTGACCTGTATGGCATCATTAAATTTATTTATGATAAATACAATTTTCCCAAACAAAGCTTAGGTAAATAACTAAAATGCATATGTAAACAACAAAATGAATTAATCGGCTCTCGGATGATTCAATTGCGATTTGTATCCTTTTGGAATTATCTTATCTGCAACCTACAAATATATGTTAAGCAAATTATTTATTTCATTTTATGTTTGCCTAAACCAGAATAAAAACAAATTAAATAGAACTAATAATGAAGATAAATTTGAGACCAACAATGGATAAGTTACGGTAATTCTTTTTTTTTAGATGTAATTGATTGTAATTAAACAGTATCCTTGTGTCTTGTGTAAATTTGTCCCAATTGTAGAATTTCTATTTGGAAATTAATTATTATCGTAACCAATGATAGGTTATAGTAACGCACATTTTAAAAATGATTTGGCATTAATAGAATCACCTTCCATAGCTATTGACTTGTATAAAGCTTAGTATTTCCATACAATGAAGCCCTTCTTAAGTCGTGCGTATAGATAAGAACGTTTTCAAGTCTGAGAGTATTTAAGACCGCATCCAGAAATTGAAAGCAACAACATTTTTAAAGAAAGCCCATGGTATACAAAAAACTGCCTTAACATATAAAGTAGTGTAATAATTGGTATAAAATACAAATATGGCTCTTCTGTTGTAATTGTGATTTTATATTGTACATGAGAAGTATAGTTTTGATCAATTTAGAATTTTGCATCCTATTTCCTGCTCAACTAACTTTCTGATATGGGACTAGAAATTATTTTATTCTACTTAGGGGGGTGGTGGCTCTCACTTTTGCACTTACTGTAGTTTTCCCCCTCATGGGCAATACGTGGATGCCGAATTTACACAAATACTTCTAGTTTCGAAGTAAAAACCATTTCAGATATTACCCTATATGGTGGATACCACAAGTATTGCTTAATTTTTTCAAATAATATGTAACCCATGTTCCTTCTGTGAAAAATTTCGGAACCGTCTGCCTTTTATTTGGGCGGCTATAAGGTACAGATAAGATATTTTCAAGTGTATATAATACTGATCACTATGACAATATGAGTCGGATAAAGCCATCTCCGTCTGTCTGTCGGTATGAACGCAATTCTGTGAACGACTGCAAAAGTCGTGCAGACCTCTTCCTGGGACTAACAAATCAATTTTCTGAAATTGCCACACTCGACTAATCGCATTATGATAAATTTATTTGAAATTAGAATGTGTGTTTCAATGCCTTTTGATTGACATATCTACGACAATTTGGATTAAAATTAAATGAATTTAAAGTAATGTGGTGACACCATGTTTTAGTGCTTTCGCCTCTACATGTTGATTTGAACTCCCATTTTAATTATTTATATTTAGCTTGGACATAAATATGGTTTAATTAAAGCGTTCAATCGAATGCAAATTGAAAGCTATTCATGTGCTTGCCTAGCAGCTTGTGTGTAACATATTTAACATTTTAATTAACTTCTTTTTGTTCAAAATATTTCGTGGAAAAAAATGAAAGTGCTAATTAAACACATATAGTATGTCTGGCGCCTGATTATTTATATTTTAATATTTCAAAATTGTTTAATGCTGTCGAACTAAAGCCACAATACAGCATAAAACCTGCATAGCAATTGCTTTAAAATTCTCATAGTGCCAGAACATAGAATAGCACCACAGAAAGTTACGAGGGTGGATCAATAAGTACCCATGTCTCACGACAGGGGGCATTGCTGAGAAATATAAACTTTACTATGATATTTAGCTATTGAGGCAAATCTGCCATACTAAATAACAAATTGATTCATCGACTACTTTTTCTGCGGGCCTTTAAGTTAACGACCAAATGGAAAAAGCGGAATATTTATGGATGGAAAAACATTGGAATTGGATGCTGTTTATGAAAACCGTATTGGTCTAACGAGCTTACCCATGTCGTACAACTGTTTCCGCTAAAGAATCGTCTTTTTCTGCACCCTGACTTGAAACCACGGATTTTAGGAAAAAAAATTCATCTGAATTGAATAGTGCATAGTGAATAGGTTTTCCTATATTTTGGCGAGTTTTAAAATTCGCATTTTTTCGAGGGACCAAAGAAATAAACCTTACTTCTTTAACGTAGTTCGAGAATAAACAATTGTGAATAAAATTCGGTCTTTATTTCAAACAAACACGGGTAATAATTGATCAGCCCTCGTATGAAAGTATGCTGTCTAATAAGGCGATTAAGACACGGGGATTTTTCCGCACGACTCAGCCGATTCCTCTCTACACCAGTCAAAGCAATTCGTGACCTACTTAATTATGACAGATTTTCTCCACGTATTCGCTGCAGAGCCGTGCAGCGTCAAACTACCACGAGAAGGACCAGTTTTGTGTTAGGATTCAACCTCTGTTTCTTGGTCGTTCAGTTGTAACTTTTCTGATTAACGGGGATCCGGCTCTGCAAACGCGACTCAATTAAGGCGGGCGCCAATGCTCGCGTTGCCTCACTTCCCGTAAAGCTAAGAATGCGACTACAAAATGACTGTATAACGAATGATAATAACAGCTTATGAGTTAGGACGCATTCAAAAGAGTAGAAATAAAATTCCCCTTTAACAATAGACCTGCGAGGAGTTTGCAAAAAGATAACCAGATAACCCAACATATTCTGACGCAAAGATCTGCAGATCTTAATAATGGTATGTCAATGGAAAGGCGGTGATAAGGACACACCAGATCATGAAACACTTTTGAATCGTGCAGTACACAAGGAGAAGACATCCAATCCATCGAGCGGGATATCAAAACCAAAATTAATGTTCAGAATGGGACAGTTGGGAAATGTATGTCAGAGGATGCTTGTTTCTATGATCCAGTTGGTATTGGCAAGCGACGGGAAAGAGCTGATGTGCTGTAAGGCCGTAAACCGTTTTATCACTTCTTTATACCGGAATCCCCACGAGTATGTGGAGAAATGGAGAGCAGGAACAACTGAACGGACTCCAATGGAAAAGTCAACTGTCAGATAGGGAAACCTTAGATCATTTTAACATAAAACATTTCAATACAATTTATTAATGTTTAACTTACAATACGAGTATGTCTGTATGTGAAAAAGAACATTGATTACAAGAGTCGAAAAAGGACAATTGAGTTTAGGAGCTACTTTAAAAGTTCAAAGCATTTACGTTTAATTAAAGTGAAACAACGCAGTTCCTCTGCACCCAGAATTTAAAGCGAACATGTAGCACAGCTTTGAATGTTAGTATCAAAATAAAAAGGAGAAATTATTCAAAAGAAATGGGAAATTTTCCAAATCTTGGGTATTTTTTTCAGATGTCCGATGACAAAATGCTTGCCAAC